ACACTACTATGGAGAATGTTATTCCAGATATGGCCCAATTTTGGTACCTCCATTAAGCATCTTGAACCTTGTTTTCAGGGACACCAGCTACCCTAAAGTTCAGGAGCCTAGCACACTGCCACACAGCCACTGCCCAGGGAGAAATCAAGAGCTTGCAACAACAAAGATGCCTCAAGTAGAGCACTTCACTGAACCCCTTGGATGGTCAATGACCACTGGTTCCAGAAAACACAGGCTGTACCCTTAGCGTCTGAAACCTTAGCATTGATAAGCCTATTAGCAGAACTCACTGACCTTACAGCAGAGATGGAAATGGGTATTTCTACACTTAGTGTACCAGGGCAGGGCAGGTTCCTGCCCTAATCACAAGAAACCGGTATCAAGCAGCCTACAGCAGCAACTGACTTTAAATGGTTGCATATAAACTAGCTGACAAGGCTTCCTTCCCATCAGCAGAAAGAAAGAGCACAACTAGCATGCAACTATTCCCCCTCTAAAGCAGGCATAGTTGACATAAATCATGACACCAAAGTGCCTTTCTCTACATGACCGATAAAAGAAGCCCAAGGGGACACAGATGTTAAAGTCTACATTGGAGTTAAATTAAATGGGATGAACCTCACCCTTTGCTTCTGTCCCTGCATCTTCTCATCTCAAAGACCTCATTAATACATCACAGTAAATAATACATACATTGATTATAAATACACTAATAAAAACAAAGAAGTTTGGCTTAAAGGGTGCATAGAGAAGTAGAGAAATAAGTACAGGGTAGCTGCACGTCCAATCAATAGCAACCCACAGGGAACAGCCATTTCTCTTTGCCACCATTTTATCTGCAATATATCGTACCCCGTAGGTAAATATGTGGACATTTACAAGTGGGAATCAATAGAACTAGAGATCTTCCCACCCCCTCACCCAGAGAGGCCATTGTTCTTTCATTGGAGCAGGCAGTAGTGAGATGCCATAGATTAATGTCTCTGCTACTACAGGCTAGCTGTTGTACCCAGGCTTTCTTTTGGGCCTCTCTGACCACTTTTACCCAACTGGAATAAGGTCAGAGACACTGGAAATCACACAGACCATTTTGCAAACCCAGAGCAAACAGCTTCAGTGGAAGGTGACGTTCCAAGGACAACATTCAGTTGATGGGAGGGGAAAAAAATTAAAGCCTGAAAGGTTTGCCTGCATGCACAGGATTTTGTCCCAGGCACATCACCAGCTAGTGAGCCTGTATGCCTCCAGGCTTGCAGATGGATAAACAGTTGTCCCAATCAGATCTAGATAAGGCCAGTGGAAGCCACTGCCCTGGCCTCAGGGAACTTTAAGTCACTCCTCCCAGTGTTCCCACATACCTCAGTCCAGGGACATAACCTATGGTACCTGAAGGCTTTTTCTTCCCTCAGGGCATGTTAATATCACTCAATGTGACTGCATTTTTATTTCTTTTTTAAACTTTACTCTGGCAGGAACGAGGCAATCTCAATTGCCATCCCTCCAATGTGGCTGCCTAAAGCCAGACAGGCAGAAAGACAATGTGCACAGAGAGAGACTCCTGCCATCCAAAGGAAAGCCAAAGCACTCACAAGCACAACACAGTGGCTGTGCCTTGATTTCTGTCCTGCATCTGTAGGTAAATTTACAGGAACTGTGAGATATCACTCAAGACAGATGCAAGTGGCCGGTTCCGATCATGTAGCTGGTAAATGCCCCTGTCCTGCAGCCCAGATCCCAGCTCACACAAAGAGAATGCATATACCACTTACTTTCAGACAAAGATTTCCTCTTGGCTTTCAGCAGAGTACCCAGCGCTGCGCAAGATTAATGTGTCATCTAATATTAGCCCGTTTCACACTATGAGTTATACTCATTACCTTATCTTCCATGAGCAAATAATTAATCAACAGCTTTCAAAAAGCCAGTTCATAAAAGTACATATCCAGAAAAATGATGGGATGGTGGATCACCGGATGGCTTGGTTTTGTCGTTCAAACTCGTATCTCCAAAGGATTGCTGAAAAGAAATTCCCACTAAGATTTCATTAAAAAGCTACTTCCTTAACACGGTTTAACTGCCACCATACTCCTGACTCCTTTAGAAAAGCACTAAACAAGTGAAATAGTCCTGCTCAATACCTAGAAAAGTAGAGCACCATACAAACCCCAACACATGTGCAGGGGCAGCACATTTCAGGACTTTCCAACTTTTCCATATGCAAAAGCAGTTCACCATGCCTTGCCCCCATCAGTCATCTAAGGCTTCTGCTGTGTTCTTACTACAGATGCTAAATTCTGCTCTGTGTCACTTTCAGATCAGCTTCCACTCTCCATAAGGAAGTACATCACGGTATTAGCTGAGCTGGGTGAGCAGTCTCTGCTTTACCCACCATTTAGTTACCAAGATCTTTAAAGACACAAGACAATAGCAAACCACAATGAAGTTTGCGGCCTGGAAATGAAAGGTTACACTTTCTCCTTTTCCTCCCTTCTGTTTTACTGATGGGTTAAATAAATACATAAATTTTAAAAAAAGAGTATAAGAAGGCTGAAATCTGGGCTACATTCACAGGAGGATGCTCAGAAGGATGCTCACTGCAGGGGCTCCTCCGCCACAGCTACATCAGGCACCTGACTCACTAGGGGTGCTTTTTACCTTCACCTGCTCTGCTCCTCCACATTGTCACAGGCTGAACAGAACTGGTTCCAGGCAAGACCCCCTCCTAGACCTCTTGCTGTCAGTCAAAAAAAAGGGCCTGATAAGCTTTACATCTGCATATGTATTGAGAAGCATTTTCAAAGGCACAGTCAGGGAAATGGCCTTTCTGAATACCGATGCTATCAGAGAATGACAACTATTCAAGTCATTCTACAGCTTCACTACCTAAGTGGAAAGATCAGGCTTGTTTGCATCTTTACAAGGATTACCAGCTTTAAAAGTGCTGATTATATCTGTCCTTCACTCAGAAATGAAGCCACGCAGGTTCAAAGCAAAAGGCTATCTTTAGTGTTTCCCACAGAGGCCATGTTCTAAAGGCATCCCAGAGCCAGAATCTAAGGTCACATATGAAATGCTTGAGCCCATACTCCTCCTTTCTGTACAGGCTCATGAAAAATGGTGCAAAGGCATGCATGGAAACATAAACATGTGCAGATTCTCTACCACCCCTCCGTACACCTACCCTACATTAGGGTATGCCATAACTGAGATAAGAGTGATCAATCCCCTCCAAATGATGCTGCTGGGCTCATTCCCGCACACAACGTTTGAGGAGGGCAATAAGAACCCAGTTCTGCAAGCAGAGGCTTTCCTCTGGGCAAAGTATCCCACAGTGCCTCACCCCGAGTTTAAGGGGCTGGTCAGAGTGTGGTAGTGTCCCGTATGCACAAGAGCCCCGGGTTAACAGATAAGTTCGACTAGCTTTGTCCTAGTCAGCTGTCGATACCTAAAGGGATGTGGTCCAACAATTACAAACCAGAACTGTGAAGCCCTTCTGTTCAAAACAGTGACAGTACATTCAATATCTACCCCGTCCTCTCTGGGCCTCTCTGGAGAGCAATACTTTAAGAAAGGAAAGTCAAGTCAGGAACAAAAGCTATCTGCAGATTTACAAACCAGATACTTCTGATTTACACAACAATAGAAGAGAGTTAAAAAAAACAAACCACCAAACATTTAAAGGCACTTGATGCACCATCTGGTGACTGGATCACCCTTGAAACCAATCCCTCACTACTGAGTGAGGTGTCCAGAACATCTCCAGCTGTGAGTAGAAACACAGCTGCAGCAAGAGGAGCACACACAGCAAATTCGTGGATGTGCACAGTACCCGAGAACTGGGTTTATCAGTGCTGTGTGCCCTCAAATCTCCTGGGGCATAAGGACTTGCCATAAATCAAAAAAAAAACGGACCTGGTCCCACCAGGACCACCAAAACCTCTGGTCGCTGAAGGCATGGTTATCTGGTAAACATATCCACCGCTGACACCAGCCAGAGCCAACCCCTGGGGCTTCAGCCCCCACTCTGTGCTTGGAGGAGGGAAGGGGTAGCCCAACCAGAAAAGTCCTCTCTGTTTGGAAAAGAGGATTAAGAACATTAAAAGGAGTCTTATAGACAACAATTAATTAGATTGGTGCCTGGCTGGATTCCTACTGAACCCTCTTGGCCAAACTTCTATAAGTCAAGTATTTGGTCTTGCTGGTTTCAAAAAGGAAGAAAATAATCTCAATTTTAAAAGACATTCCAACACTATTGTTTTAATGCCTGATCGCTATTAGACAACAGGAAAAACTTTGAATACAAGCTGTCAGAGGAGGCTTGGCATGATTTCACAGTGGAGCTTGTTCCTAACTTTAATGATGAGGCTGAACAAAATTGTGAGCACAGCCTCTCTTCGAGAGTAGTCTCCCCTCTACAAACCTTCCGTTTCTGAAGCAGAGTGGGACAAGCCGAGTTGCACCTCTCCAAAACTGAGCTCTCCTCAGCCAGCCTGCCCTGAGAGCCCATGGAGCTAACAGGTAATGCTCTGTGGGGCAGACCTGCACCTGAGATGCTTTCAAAATCTCAGCCAGGCTCTTCATCAATCTGATCAGACTAACAAACAAACAAGCCCAACGTAAACCGAAATATTTAAAGGGCAGGAGAGACAGGGAGAAGATGGAGCGTTTATTTAACCCTGAAAACCCAGGCTGGTTTTCGTCAAAAACAAAACAAAACGCCAAGATAAACAAAACAAGACACCAACCCTCCAGATAAGACTCCAACCCTCAGCCCCAGACATCGATAACAGAGTCATGGAGCACACACCACACCGGGGTCCTTCCCTAGCCCCCGGGGCTGTTCCTCCCGAGGTCACCAGGGCGGGGGCCCGCAGGCACACCCCCAGCCCCGGGATCCCTCACCCAGCCCCCGGGGGACCAGACCTGCCAGCGGAACGGTCGCAGAGCCGGACGGGCGGCACCTGCTGCCCGCGGGACTGGGGTTGGGGGATGTCGCTCACCGTTGAGGCCGTTGGGGATGCTCCGGTGGTGGAGAGGCGCGGACAGGTCATCCATAGACCTCCGCATGGCCCCGGCCTTGCTATCGCCGACCTTGTGGTGGTGGAGGTGGTGGTGATGGTGGTCGGGGCTGCCGGCGCTGCCCGTGCTGGAGGTGCTGCTCCCGTCCCCCACGTCCCTGGTGGCCGAGCCGCCGTTGAGGTTGGTCAGGCTGGCCTGGCTGTCGATGGAGCTTCGCGAGCCGGCCCCGCTCCGCTCCTCGTCCAGCATGAGCACCATCTCCTTCAGCTCCACGTTCTCCCGCAGGAGGGTCTCCTGCCTGGCCTCCAGGTCCTTCAGCTTCTGCTGGTACATGCCCACCTCCTTCCACATCACGCTGGCCGTGTGCCTCCCGAAGCGCTGCCATTCCCTCGACAGCTTCTTGCCTTTCTGCCGGTCGTCGTCTAAGAAACAGCAGAGCTCCCTCAGCTCCTGGTTGTCGTCCTGCAACTTCTGGTTCACCTCCTTCAGCCCGCGGATCTCGTGCAGGTGGAGCTGCAGCCTCCGGTTCACGTCCTTCATCAAGTTGCCGTGTTCCACCATTAAGTTCATCTTTTCATTCTCCACTTTCCTCAGTCTTTTCACCAGTTCTTCCTTGCTCCACCTCAGCATCTCCTCTTCCGAAATTTTGCTCAGGTCTTCCTTAGACCCTTCCAGGGAATTTTTTGCCATCATCTGCGCAGCGTTCGCTCTCGTACGGTAACAAATGGTTCGGGTTATTCGGATTATTTTGTTCGCTTGATTTTCTGGGACTAAAATTCACTGCAGCATCTCGAGAAAGAAATATTATAGCTCTCCGCAGAGCGTTGGACAACGATGAAGAGCAACGCCGGAGCGGAAGATCTGCTTCTCCAAAGACCCCATAATAACAATAAAAAAAAAAAAAAAAACACAACAACAACCCGCGGGAAACGGGGGGGAGCAAAAACAGGCGCTCCCCCCAAGGGGGCTGGGGCGGCAGGAGCCGGGAGCCAAGCGCTGCCCCTCCGAGCGAAGTCTCCGATGGGGATCGGTCAACTTACCCCGGGCAAAACAACTACGCTGCGGCCGCCCCCCCGCCCCACTCTCCGGCCGCTTGTCCTCCCACACGCCCCACCGCCGCCTGCCGCTCCCCGCCGCGGGAGACCGCGCACTCGCCGCCACTGCCCCACTCCTCCTCGGCTCGCTTGCAGCTCCGCGGCTCCTTGGGGCCGAACCCGGTGTGGCGGCGGCCGACGCCGGGGCTGCGCTGCCGAGGAGCGGCGGGGGAGCCGGCGCCTTCCCGGAATGGCTCAGCCCTCGGGAGGGGAGAGGGAGGAGGCAGGCGGCAGCGCCGGCGCTGGTCCCACCTCCTGCCGGGCAGGGAGGCGAGGCCCTGCCCAGCCCAGCCGAGCCGAGGAGAAGGAGAGCCGGCTGCTGGCGGCGGAGCGAAGCGGCGCCGAGCCGAGCCGGGCCGGGCCGGGCCGAGCCGAGCCGAGCCGAGCCGAGCACCGCCCCGTTGGCTGCCGGGCTGGGCGCTGGCCAGGCCCCGGTGTGCCGCGCCCCGCCGCCGGCTCGGGTTACCGGAGCCGCGGACGCCGCAGCCAATGCGGGGCCGCCTGGCGCCTTCAAACGGCAGGTACAAAGGGATGGGGCTGCTCCCGCCCTCCTTCCGCCCGCCCTGCGATGCTCTGCCCTGTCCTGCCGGCTACAGCAGGCTCCCTGCCGCCCCCCCTACAGCGTGTCTCCCACCCCCTTTTTGCCTGTTTTTGTTGGGTTTGCCCGTTTTCAAAAGACCACTACCGAAGGGACCACATCCCCGCCAGGGTGGGGTTGGACAGGCAGGAAAACGCGGCCGACGGGCGGTCCGGGAAAGAGGCGCCGGAGCGGCCCCGGCCCCTCTCCCGCCAGACGCGGCGAGGGACCCGGTGCCGCTGGCGGGCGGCTCGGGCGCGGAGCGAAGCGGGATCTCCCGGGGCATCTCCGCTGCTGCCAGCCTCCCGCCACAGGCTTTGTCACCGGCGCCCGGCTGCGCTCCGCTCAGCCTGCTCTCCCTCCGGGGTGGCCGCCTTTGTCCCCGCGTCCCTCCTGCCTCGGCCGGAGCCTGCAGGTCGAAGGAGCCGGTTCCAGCATTCCTGCGACCTCTGCTCCTGGGACCGGCATATTCCTTCAGACCTCAAAGGTGCGGGAGGAAACTGCCCTGAAGGCACAGATATGGCTTATTCGCTGGTAAAATCTCCCTAGGTCCTGGCGGTCCTTACTGTCAAGAGCAGGCATGCCAGCATCACTTCTGCACACATCAGATAGAACACAGTGACAGGTACAGAAAGTTCATGAAGTGGATTTCCCAGGCAACATGTATACAGATTTCCTCTATCCTTGCATCATATCCCCGACTTTTAGTCTAATGTACTTTACTTGGGCCATGCTATCTCTCTAGGCTGCTTTTGCCCAGTATCACATTGTGAAAATGAAAGATGCACTGGTACAGAGCAGTGCTGCCAGCTATTTGCTGCACGAGTATCCTTTAAAAGCCTCCAGGGATTACCAGCTTTGAGTTCCTGAAGAACCCCTGTAAATGATTTGACACCAGGGTTAACCCAGTGCAACCTCAGGTTTCTGACCATGCTGGAAAGCTGGTCAAGACACCCTTTGGCTATAAATATCAAATCTGATGCCAGAGCATAGGATGCAGAGCAGATGGCCTGTGGATGGAGGGAACATCAGAACAGAGGGACAGAGGATTACAACTTCTGTCTTTTGGTGTTATCATCCTAAGTCTCACTCGGTAAAGCTGCAGTTTCTTGGATGTTTTTCTGCACAAGGCTGTTCTCCTGGGTTTCTGAGCCCAAGTATACCCTTGGCAAATTAAGACAAGTGCCTGTTCCCTGCTGAAATGGAACAGCGGGACTTCTCTGCACCTGGGGGAGTTCAACCCCTCCATGAGCACTGTTGACCCTTCTCCCAAAGCAGCTTTTATCCCTCAATTATCAAAAGGATAAGAGAAGCTTAGGATAGAGCATTCACACTAGTTCACTTCATGTGGGACTTGATCCCTGGTAACATGCTGCTGCACAGACATGAAGATGTGGACAATTCTTCCCTAACACATTCCCAAACCAGTGTAGTCCCCTAGAGAGGAGCGAATCACATTGTACAAGCCAGTGGTGAGGCCTGTTTGCTCCTTTCAGGGGCCATCAGTATGAGTAGGTAAAGCAGGGGCAACCCAGGACCAGCTGTGCTCTGACCTGGGTGCCCACCTTGGAGGCAGCTTTGCAGAAGGTACAGCCCTGGCCATGGCTGGTCAGCCCCTCCTGAAGCTGCCACCTCAGCAGCAAAGTCAGCCCTTAGGTCGCAAGCCAGCAGGCATCTGTGCCGAGAGGGGTCTGGCGCCCCTCGGGCTACAGCCAGTGTGGTGTGTGATCAGGATGTACCCCATCTCCTGTTTCTCACTACCTTGAGCCAGGGCACCAGAATGCAACCAACCCCTGTGAATGGGGCACGCTGCCACTGGTGGTGGCTGTATGGTATCTTGAAGGCACACAGCCATTTTCCAAGCCAAACATTTATTTACAAGGCTGTAATCGCATCCTTCCCGACAGGAAGCGGAAAGTGCTTCTCCCGGACCCTCCCAAGTGCTGATCTGACTAGCAGATCCCCAGTGTCTGGGAAAAGGAGGAGCAGAGCAGGGGCACCCTGCAGAGCGATTGTTCATTGCTGACCAAAGTCAACAGGGGAGGAGAAGCCTTTGGTGGCTGCACCACAGATACAGGTGCAGCTACACCATGGTGGTGCCCAGCCCAGGCAGTGCAGTGTTGGGCTTGCCTCAGGTTTGCTTTATCTTTTTCCCAAGAAAAGCTGTTTTTCTGAAGTGAAACCTTTCAAAGTTTGAGCTTTATTGATGCTTGTGCAAAGACAGAGCCCAGTAGGCAGGGGGGCTCCTCAAAGGAAGTGAGGAGATTATTAATATCCACAGAGGAAGTCCCTGTGATGATTAAGACTTGCTTTCAGTACTCAGTGGGTATGTCTGTACTTTCGGAGATGTTAATGACACAGATCCACCTTGCTGCCGTTTACAAAGGGTTTTCTGTCATTCTGGTAGCTATAAAAGCATGGTGACCTGCTGCAGTTGAGCATCTGGAGGCCTGTATGTTCTGGAGGTGGCATTGAAATTGCCAGGTAAGCAGATGGCATCTGGCCCAGTGAAAGACTCCTCCACTAACAATGAAGAGAGTGGGATGGTGCCAGTGGGTTTGAGTGACAAGACCTGAATCAAGCGGACACCATGCATCATTACCCTTTCTGCTCCCTCCTCTTCAAGGTGGGCCTTGCATTGGAGTAGGGGAAAATCCCTTCATCTTGGAAACAAAAGGCAGCATCGTTAGAGCAGAAGGGTGAGGCTTGGAGGTGTCAGAGTGTCTGTGGCCCAGATGATTCATGGGCAAAGTGGAACTGAGGGCTGTGATGAGGTAGTTTTTTAAGTGCTTTGATACCTTGGAGGGAAAGGACTAGGTCAGTGCACAGTTTTATGATCAACAGCAAACCCAGTGTTGCAAGCAGATTTTTAATCAACACATGTAGTGTGTAACATCAGAGTATTTTTGATGGGTTTGTGATTTTAGTTTTAGTGAGCAAAGCCCGTTTCCTGGTGTCATTCAGGAGGTGTTATGATTTCCCCATGCCAATTTAAGATGAAGCATAGGAGAAGTTGGTAAACAACACACTACTGATTCCTTTTTGTTATATCTGGCCACTGGGCCTTCTGAAAGCTTCCAGTGAAAAACACTTTTAATATGCACGTTATCTTAAGCATTGATGCGCATGTAAGACAGCATCAAAGCCTATCTATCTCTTGCATGGAATCAAATGGACACTTCCACCCTCTTCAGTCAGGGACAAAATTTTAAAGCGAATTATAGCATCATAAGAATTTTAGGAAACAACAAAACCAAAACCACCTACTGGGTGAAATTGCTCTTGATGTTAGCTCCTGAACTCAGCTGGTGACACAAAGAAATGAATTTGGTCCCTGGTATATATAACACAGCAATACGCCGCCTCATTGAAGTCAAAGCATTCCCTCTACAGGGCTACGTTAGTACTACAGAAGACACAGCTCAGGCCTGTGCTATGGCTTCCCTCCCACGAGAGGGGTGACTCTCCCAAAGTCCACTCACTCCTCATGGGTGGGAGTGGGCAGATGGGTAGGAGGAACCCTAGTGAGATTCTCCCAGGACCTTGCTTTTCCAAGGCAGCCTAGGAAGTACACACTGCTGCATGTGCATCAAGGCCATGCTCCAGTTTACACACACTGAGGACCCATCTCATTAAAACATGTACTCCATAAATCATTTACATGGGTTATAAATCCTCTGCAGCATCGGTATTTTCTCATAAATCAGTGCCAAGGACTAATCCTTGATTAATGTTTGGAAATACACCATCCAGATTGCGACAGTGAGAGCTCTGTTTTGTGCAACAAAGCAGTGAGATAACAAAGTATGTGCAATGCTCCTAATCTCTGCTATCAAGATAGGTACCTCACTTCTAGCCTGATTAAGCAGTATTTTCAGCCAGAACATTTTTCTAGTTAGCAGCTACCTGAGAACTGCCATGCATCATTCTTCTTTCTTTTCCCAGATCAGCTGAACCTTCCTATGGAAAACCTTCATCCCTCCACTTGCCCATCTGGCTGAGCTATGATGAAAAAGCAGTCTCTTAGAAGATTATGCAGCATTTTTTAATGCTGGCTTCTGGTAATATAACTGGGCCATCCAGTTCATTCACTCTCCTTATGAAAGTAGTATGGTTTAGTGGAAGGTTTCATCTTGTGTCCACAAAGCCTTTTTATTTTATGCCCTGAAACCGCTAGTAAAATTCTAAAATGCACCAGCTTGTTTGAAAGCCTTCAGGATAGTCAGAGAAGAATTATGGTTGTGACCAGCAAACTCTTTGCTGTGCCTGTAAAACAGGTCCTCCAAGAGGCATAAGCAGTAGCCTCTAAGCACTGCTACTAAGAACAGCATCCAAATTGGAGACCAGCAGAGATGGAGGGCTGGTACTTGAAGGAAGACATGGGAGGTGTGTGTGTGCTCAAGGTCTGTCTTAAACTACAGCTATTTTTCAGTCCCCTTTCAAAGTGTCCTACATTCACCCAACAGGTCCACACTCACACACTAGGTCCAGATGTGCTCCATGCAGGGACACTTACAGAGCTGTTGGAGCAATACCAAGTCGGATCAGCTACAGAGTAGGCATACATGGGATGTTTGAGTCAAGTAGAAAAAGCCCATAAAAATCCCCTCACCCACAGCATTTCCTAAAAGTTCATTTTCACTTAAGTTTCTAACCATGTCTTGCAACACAGTGTAGGTTTACCCCCTCCCCCT